CAGGGGCCATGCTAATCTTCTCTGTATCTTTCTAATTTTAGTATATGTGCTGCCGAAGTGAAGCACCCCGGCTATTTTTTCTGTTGCAGTTTGGTCCGGGGCTGGTTTGAACCTGCCACCCTTGGTGTACGGGGCTGGCACCCTACCCACTGAGTCACAGGTGCCACCCCATAGTAAATGCATTCTTGCCATTCTCCTCCATGAGTATTTCTGAAGAGCCTTGCTCCTGCCAGCCTGCTTCCGGCTCGGTCAGTGTCACCCCTTCCTACACTAGCAGGGGCAGTGCCTTGCGGCAGCAGGAGATGAATCCAGTTTGCAGTTGTTCTGATCTTTGCAGAAGCAGCTTTGTCGTGCCCCCACCTCAGAGGCACGGGTGTCAACTGACCAGGGTCACTCCTCAGAGGGCCAGGTCCTAGCCACTGAGGGCCTTGTCTCTAAGCCCAGAGACATCAGCACGAGCCCAACAGCAACCCCTCTCACTGCTCCAAGCGTCAGCTCTGTGGGTGCTGGCCTTTAAAACCTCCAGGTTCTAATAATCCCATCTGCTCCCTTTGCTCCTCCAGCATTCAGTGTCTGGCCTCGTGAGGTGATTCCTTTGTGCTCTAACGTTGTGTTTGGGCCTTTTCAGTTACTCTGTTAATAACTTATTACTCCTAGTCAACTGTTCTCTCTACTAAAAAATAACGAGTAACTGGTGTGGTCTGTTTCCTAACTGGACTCAGACTGATTTAAGCATTACTCTGTTAATCTCTTTTCTGATACTTTTTGAGGAAGGTGGAACAGAAGTTGCATCTCCAACTTACAGATCAGGAAACTGAGGCAGCAGTGAAGTGTGACTGTTCAACTAATTAGTAACTTAACTAAAATTGGATTCTTACGTTTTTAGGTCAGTGCTCTCTCAGCTACCTAACTCCTTGAATCTGCCTTCATCTCCCAGCTTATCTCCCGAGGAGGATTCAGGAAAGAAAGGTCATTTGGCCTGGCATCTGTTACATTATTTCTTACTGTGCTTATATTCCACGGGATGATCGGTGACGCACACATGCCCTGGAAGTGCTTTTATCCTAGAACGTTAACTCCCTCACAGCAAGGCTGATCTTCCTGTCTCCTCTCACCCTATCCCTAAACAAAGAATAATTTTTCCACTTAAACTGGATGCCCTGAAGGACCCTCTCAGTCACTAGGGGTCTGTATCATGTCTGAGCACTTCTTTGGCCCCTATGCTTCCTTTCCAAAGCTTCCCACCTGGTATTCTTTCTCCGTGGGACACAGGACAACAGTGCAGTTGTCCGATGATATATGCGAGGGATCTGTTCCAGGACCCCTGTAGTATGTCCCTGTCTGCTCATACCCAGGCCTGCAGTGGGCCCTGTGGGACCTGTGTTTAGGAAAAGTCAGCCTTCTCTGTGTTTGAGTTTTGCATCTCAGAAATACTGTATTTTGATCACTTTTGCTACATGTAAGTGGACCCCTGCAATTCAAACTATTTTGTTTAAAGGGTCAACTGTATCTCAAAACCTAATTAATTTGCATATTTCGGGAAGTAGCCAACCACAGAAGACCTCTATTCTACAGCGTTCTCTGCTGCACTATGAACTTGATAGTTTCCCCCCTAATTGTTACCCTTTTCATCCATCTCTTTCTTAATCAATTCAGAAGTTTGATGAGAGCACAAAAGTCACTCCAAAATTTCTTACCTTTGATAACCAAGTGCCTCCATGATTTACTTCATTAACAAATAAATATTGAGTGCCAAGTTGAGACAAGAGAGGCTTCCATCCTGTCCCTGGTGGCACATCTCACACTGATGGCTGGTTGTATTTGACTTTGTGAAAGTCCTTTCTTTATCTTGCTGGATCTTATGTATTTTTGGGGGGGGGGTAAGTTTTATCTGCTCAATAAGGCTTTCAACCATTTTTATCTCACCACACACTTGAACCTATAGTGAAACTTCCGTGGCACACTTCAATCATGTTGATCAAATAAAGAGTAAAGAGTATACTTACTGTGCTTTGAACTTCTTTTGAGAATTAATTAGTGATCTTTAAAATTTTTCATAACACACCCAAGATCCTCTCGTGGCACACCAGTCTGCAGTGCAACACACTGGTCAGTGCACTAGATGGTTCCTAATCGTAACAATTGCAATGGTAATAGTTGATGTTTACTGTGCCTTCACTACAGGCTGTGAGCTTTGCTCACTCTGCCCAGGTATTCCTCGTAGAAACACTAGCAGGTGGGTGCTTTTATTTTTATTTTACAGTTAGAGAAATGGAGGTTTATAGAGCTCATGACCATGTCTACCCTACAACCAGAAAGCAGAGAGGTGGGATTTGAAGCCAGGTAAGTTAATTTCAGTACCCAAACTCTGTTATATGTTACTGCTGCTGCTCATTTTTTTCAAAATTACACATTTTCCCTGCTTTTTTGCATGAAAATGTCATTGACTTCAGCAGAATATACATACTGAATTGCTGTGTTAGGAGTCAGTGAGAGGTCAGCTTCCCTTCCCCCAACAAATGATCTTTCTCTTATTTAGTTTCAATCTTTTTAAGAATGAATTTGGGACGTAAATTTACATGGCCAGTATGAACTCATCGAAACAAACAAAAAAAAGGCCTAGGAAATAATTGCTAAGTTATACCAAAATATTTAACATTATTATCTTTGTTGGCTGCCCTGGGTTATTTTTTCCTATTTTCTATATTTTCCAGCTTTCTAAAATGAGAATGTTGGAATTTTGAAGGAATGGCAATTTTGTGCTGGTTTGTGAGGTCAGGTCCATCTGCTAATTACCAAGTGACTTGAGCGGCTAATAATTATTTTAGTGGATTTGTAATTTTCATCTTTTTCTAAATTATATATGTCATTGCTTAAAAAGAATGAGTTCTGTAAGGTTTGTAACAAGTAGCAAAGCTACTTCCCTTTCTGGTTTCCCTCTCCCCAGTGACAAATTTCTTTTATTTTTTAAGCTGCCCTCTTCTGGTCTTTGCCTTTGGTTTTCAAAAATAGCATCATTGGCCTTCCATTTCTTATTTTAAGTTGTTATCTAGTGACTTCTACTATGGAAAATAAGACTATAGTCCTTTCCCCA